GCTCAGGCACACCTGGATCCTGGCCCCTGGCCTGGTGACCCTGAAGGCCAGGACCACTGTGAGAGTCTTGGCCAGAACAGAGGAGACGGCCACCGTGAACACCACAGCAAAGGTCGTCTGACGCAGGAGGCACGTGGGGACACTGGGGCGGCCAAGGAACAGCAAGGCACACAGGGCACAGAGGGAGAGGGAGATCAGCAGGAAGTAGCTGAGGGTTCTGTTGTTGGCCCTGACCACGGGGGTGTCCCTGTGCTTCAGGAACACTCCCAGAACCAGGAGAGCCAGACCAGCCAGGAAGAGTGCCACCAAAGCCAGCATGAATCCCAGAGGTTCCTCAAAGGCCAGGAAGATCTCTGTCCTGGGCAGGCAGCGGTCTCTGGTGTGGCTCGAGTACTGTTCCTTGGGACACAGGAGACATCTCTTCATGTCTACGGGAGACACAGACACCATTCCTACAACACAGTGCCAACTGCACCAGCTCGGAATGAAGGTGCCCCAAGCACTCCCTGCCCTTACAGCCTTTCCATCAAGTCATGGATTTATGAATTATTCTTGGTGACCAGGGCTGGGATGGGTGATATTAGAGGCAGAGGCACAAAGGAAAAAGCTGCATTTCTGTGTCTGTTTTATGTGAGAGTTTTTGTTTCTGTCTTCAGTGTCGCATGGAACTCAGGCTGAGTGCAGAGGGTGGCCATAAACTCCTAAGCCTCCTTCCTCAACCTCTTAAGTGCTGTGATTATACAAGTGCACCATTATACCTAACCTATGCTTGTGTGTGCAGGTTTGTGTGTGCACACATGTTTATAACTGGATGCATATGCTTGTCAAGACCAGACATTTAACATGTGATATAATTCCTCAATCTTCCCCCTAGCTTATATTTCTAATCAAACATATTTTTATATTTTGTTTGTGTGAGTATGTGTATGGGCTCAGGCATGCCCTGGTTTCCTAGTGGAGGTCAACATAACTTTCATAAACTTGGAGTTCTCTTTCTACAATTTGGGTCCCAGGGCCTGAACTTTTGCTTTCAGTGTTGACAGTGAATACTTTAACTGATAACCAGTCTCCACAGCTTCTTCTTTTATAATGACCTCTTTTATTTTGCTTGTTGACTGTTTTGTTACTACATATCTTTTGAAACCATGTGCATGTCTGGAATATGCAGAAGTCAGAAGATATCATCAGTTCCCCTATAACTGGAGTTATACTTGGTTGTGACCCACCATGTTGTGTTTCTAACTGTTGAGCTACCTCTATAGGCCCCTTTTCACCTTACTTTAAGACAGGGTCTCTTACCTAGTCTAGAGATCACTGAGTTGACTACACTCTCAGGCCACAATGCACAAAGATCCTCCTGTCTCTGGCCCCTTGGTGCTGAGATTAAAGGTCTCTTGTGTGAGTTCTTAACAGTTCATTTCAGTGAAACAGGACCAGTAATTGGCCAAATTAACAAATGTTTTAGACTGCGCTGTGTCCCCAAAACTCATTTATTGATGTCCTGCAACTATGCATTTTAAAATGAGATATATTTCTCATTGGTAAACTGGAGATGAGTAATAAAGGTTAAGTGAGGTCTCCAGGTTAAATTAGGTAGACACTAACTCCAACAGTGCAGCTATTCTACTAAGAATGTAGAGCTGGAGCTGGGGCTGATTGCACAT